AGGGGCAAAGCGTGATGAACTTGGTGACCCCGAAGAGGGCCATCTCGACAAAGCTGCTGCAGCTCGGCGTGTTATAGTCAGTAGGTACCACCCGAGTTCGATTGTGTATGTGTTCGTAGAGAGCATATTGTGTTGGGGCAAGTCATCACTCTGTTTTTGTTCTATTCGTGAAGGGACACCTTCAATTGACCAATGTCGGCTCGTGCACATTCTCTCTGTCTCCATTTCTCCCTTTATTTCACGAGTGTTAGCCACACAGACATCTGCAGAAGTATGGGTACTAGCAGTGCTTCTAGATGACAGGCTCCATGTGAGTACAGCCAAGGCGGATTGCTGCATAGACCCGCAGAGGCTCTCTTCGTCCCTCCACACACTCGTCAACACCCTCGCATGGCAGTAGGGGATACCTTGTCCCGTTCGAGACGTTGGAAGGGTTTTGCCATTCTGTCCGCGTGGCCGATGTGGGAGAGATCAGTTCGCAAACAGCCCGACAGGTGGATTCTGTGATAGTCTGGATCGCTTGGAGCCCAGACGTGATATCGAGATGTTCCACCTACGTAGCTCAGACCCCCCCAAAAAGAGACGTCTTTAGCCAACAGCCTGGTAATTAGACGACGCAATGTAAAGATTTCGATGAGTACTGAGACTATTTGAGACCATCATGCTCAGCTGTCGAACCTGAGCATCCAATAAAAAGACCTTGACAGTCAGCTCAAGGATCTGCGACACACCATGGCTGCCAGATCCCCTGAACCGGGGGGGAGGGAATATGGGTGGGAATCGGAAAGCCAGACTTCAAGGCGCGCGTGCTGCAATGCAGATCAAGCGCGCGCTCGTCCATGCCTGCGGCTCAGGTCCCGATGCCGAACTGATTCGCCACGTCGTATTGAAAGGGGTAGTTGTTTGGGCTACCTGCCTGCTGTGAGGGCGGCAAGAGGCTGCAGAATTATGCGTTGGCTCAAGAGGACAACCTATTTGTCTCGTGCCAGCGCAATTACACCAAAGGCTCTCCTCAAGCGTTGGCCAGACGTGGCGGCTTTGATGTTTGGTCTTATCGTGCCGCGCAGTGTTCGGCCATCAACGTCCGCAAGAGAAGGCAGAAAGACAAGCAAGAAAACAAAACTTGGATGTGGTGTCGATCAAGGCTGCCCTTTCTGGATGAAAGGGACCTCGCGTGCCACTGGAGCTGGAGACGGCAAACCGCGAGCTGTATGACCAGTCATCTCACAATACAGGTCTGTCTGCTGAGGAATGTGATGAGAAGTCTCCTCCCCCGCGCCGCACCGGCCTGTTCCTCGGTGATGCTCCATCGTGCTCGGTTACTTGGTACTATTTCATATGAGATATGAAAGGTTGTGCGTGACGCACGTATACCGTGGTCAATGTGCTCCTTGGAGTTAGTTCTCCTGCTGAGACGCCACGGTGCGACCTATAGCTGTCTCGTCCTCCATTCAAAGAGAGTGCTATTCTTTCGGGTGTGGTAGCTTGGGGAGGAACCCGAAGTCAGCAACAACAATAAGGAGGGATCAAACAAGTCAATCTTGAAGGCAGTGGAAAGTATGCCGCAGGTCCGATTGGAATTGGTTGTTATGCTGCTCTGCTTCATAGCATGAGCAATCCGTCGGAAGGCGCTGGTATAAGGGTTGGCCAATTCCCTTGACAACTACACGGTTTGCGGACCAAATGGGCTTGGTAGTAGTCAAACATCCGACAGACTGTTGTCCTTGCCCCCCAGCACCAAGCAGCTGACAGAAACTGACAGGGCACACAGTGAGGCACGCATGTGCGTGTATGTACGTAGATCCACAAGTAAAGATTGTGCTCCGGAGACAGACGGCCGCCAGCTCATCGTGACGCACCAAAACAGGAATGCGATGGGGTAGCGGTCGCCGTCGAGCAAACCTGTGACAGCATGACCTTTCCCGCGTAGCCTATGCTTGCTCATTGCCGGTAGTCGGCTGGACATGTTTGTCGTATTCAAGACTCAAGCTGCCCGGTCTCGGCAACAACGGTCATTGGGCCACAAGGATGAATGGTGTCTGCAGCCCGACGCACCAATATCTCCCTGAGCTTGCAAAAGCGAGATTCAGTGTTTGGTGACCCAACCCAATCATACATGATTTGGTACTTGGGGAAGAAAGAAAGTTGGTGGGTGTGCTGTGCCTCGCTCTGCTCGCGCCAGCAATGGTCGCGTTGTGGTACATGTACCCCCGCCATGGGCTATGCTCCTAGGCCCCAGCACCAATTCTGCGCGCTCCATGTTTCATCGGGATATCGTATTTGGCGAAATGTCAATATGCGGGCAGACTGGACTGCATGCCCGTCGCAAAGAATCCGCGGAGGTCACCCGCCTGAGTGCGTGCATATGCAATCACGCACACCACTGTGATAAAATTAGGCTGAGAGGAGAAGAGGAAAGTAAGGTGAGCAGTCTGCTTGTGAGGAGGCCAGTCACAGGGTGTCATGTTCACAAACTACAGGGAGATGTAGTCATCTCGAGGGATCTGATAGGCCGATCTGTATCGATGTCCAACCCCCCTCAATCGACGGAAGCCCTTTGTAGGATCGTTCGGCAGAGCCTTCTTGGTGTGTGTTGTGCCTTCGCCCACCACTGCATTGTCGTTGGCGAACTGCGCACGGCGTCGTCCAGTCTAGCCCTGGCCGCCAGCGGCGGAGGTTTGAATGCATATACCCATCGTGGCGCCCGCCAGATTTGCCCGAGGGAGGAGACTGGGGGACTCCGACTCCGAGAACCAGGTCGAGATGACCGGGTAGTCGTTTGGCGATGCATGTCTCCAGCCGCTGCGTGGGTTCGGGTCCCGCTGCGACCGATCATGGCATCGACCGCGACAATCATCGACCGCAGTTTCGACCCATGCACCCATGCACCCATGCACCCATCCCGTTGAAGGCCCTGGTCCTTGTTCTTCACGGCGCTCGTCATGGCGTAGCCTTGTGGCGACTAAACGCAGGCGGCTTTTCACTCGCCCTGCGTAACCCCCGACGGCGGGTGCCAGGGCTGCGACGAATGTCGTGCTGGCGGAGCGATAGCAACGAACGTCCTCCACGTGCGCGCGTGTCCGACAGAGTTTCTGCGGATCGTTTGATGCTGGACAACATGTCTGGTTGGCACCGTACGACAGCTAAGACATCTGGCCATGTTTCTCTCCCAGACCTTGTTCCCCTCACCTTGTCTGCACGTCTTAGAACCGGAGGTTTCATCGTCCAACTTGCATTCCCTCACAGCCACAGATCATCCAGATCAGAAAACGCAGCCGACGGGGGCAATTCGTATCGAGGAGCCGAAAGCACGTCGCAAGGGCGTGCAACAGTAGCGCCCCATGAGCAGGGTTCTTCGACAGACGCCCACCTCTGTCCATTGGTAGCTGAACAGCTGGTCTCGTCACGAACAAGAGGTCTAGGCTGTGATGTGCCTCACATCACGTCACTGCCAGGCGCCGCCCGTACACGTTGCCGCTTGAGCCCTACCCTGCCCCGAGGGCGGGAAAAGGCGGGTGCGGAAGATTCTTCCTAGCTCCCTGCGGCTCAGTGCATCTCCCCGCTGTCAGCATCGACCGGCCAAAGTCTTAACCTGCAGGGAACCGGAACGTGCCCTGGCTGGTCGTCTGAGCGCGACTTGACCACGTCGGCCCTCACAGGATGAAGACCGCCATACACATGCTGCGTGCACCTGTCGAAAATGTTGTTGCAGGGGAGCAGTAGGGAGAGGTCCACTCCGTGGCTTGATTCGGCATTGCAACGCTGTAGGTCATCACCGCAGCATCTTCATGGTCGTGCAGTGACGACAGTGGAGCTGCCTGTGATGCTCGATGCATGTGTGCCCGTGCTCCTATATGACGGCGCAAACGAAGTGTTGTGTTAGACACGATGGACGGGGCGCGAGTGCGAGCGTTACGCAACTCGTCGCGAGCCAGCTCTTTGGTCCTGGAGATCATCTAGATCGGTATCGCTTATTCGGAATGCCGGCTTAGGGTCACGGAATGAAGCTAGACCAGACCAACAGGTGACACACATGATGGCCTTTGTCCTGCTTCCAGGGTCTTGGCGGGAGCGGGTGGAATAGTTCAGGTAGTACAAAGACCATAGTTCGTGCGCCGACTCCGATTCCACAATATCTCGAGGGAATAGCAGGCCTATCGACGGAGCGCCTGTGTCACGGCAGGTCACGCATTCGGCCTGTTGAAGCTGGTCTCAAGCCGAATAATACATGCTACAGGATGAGTAGCATTCAGTCTTTGGAACGCGGCGGAGCGGCGTAGCTAGAGACATGATACTTTTGCCGTGGAGATTTGACTCTCAGGAGCTAGATGCGATATTGCGCTTCAGTCCATCTTGGTCCGAGAAAGGCTGCTTCAAAAACACCACGAGCTAACTCTCTGACCTAGGGGTGCATTCGGGTTGCTGCATCGACAGGACATAGGATGAGGGCCCGGAGAAGACAATGTTCTCGAACAGAGATACGTCACGTCGAGTATTGTCAGGCCTGATGAACCGCAAACCTCAACGGAATCGAAGTGGATAGCGATCGAAATGACGAGACCCGGCCACTAACTCTCAAACAAACATGGCGCGGATAGTCGAATTGGGGTGCATTTCATCGACAGCCGGATGAGTTATCCGGACGCTTGACTGCAGGAGGCAAGGAATGTATCCGCGTAGGCCTTTCCTCTTCCCGTTTTATCTTCGACCCTGTGATCTTGGCAGATGGGAGACAGCCTGCCACACTGCACAGCCTCAGCCATTCCTTTTGGTGAATATCAGTTGAGTACGGGGGGATCCGGGGGCGGTGCAAGCGCTCATGATCGTCGCCCACCGACGACAGGCTCGGGCGGGCTGTAGTCAAAATCCACATGGACCCGGATCGACATTGTGGGGAGGGACGTGAGTCGGGGATAGAAAGCGAGCTTCAAGGCGTGTCGGTGTCCGCTGCAAGTAGGTAGTCAAGATGAGTATGGATAGGGACAAGGAGACATTGATTCCTATCTCCGCCTAGGCCTCCCGTGGTCCTGGTATCGGTCTCGATCTCTGTCACTGTCCTGGCCATCGCGTCGTCTATCGTACCGGTCATCCTTGCGCCGGGTATCGCGATAGCCAGATCTGTTACGATCTCGATCATCGTACCGTCGATCGTCGCGTCTTCTATCGTCGCGTCTTTGATCGTCGCGTCTCCGCGGGCTGCGGCTTCGGTTCAAAGGCCGGGATCCTTCACCATGTTGTCGGTCCTCTCGTCGATCGTCGCGCCGGTCATCACGTCCACTCTCGGCCGACGGAGCTTCTCCCTGTCCCCCTTGCCCTCGCTCGTGACGACCCTTCATCTCCTCGTCACCGTACACGAGGTTGTAATTGTCGCCGTGACGGGCATCGTCTTGATCACGGTACTGCCTCCTCTTCTCAAGCTCGTCGATGCCTCCCCAGCCTCCGCGAGATGCGTTCTTCTTGCGTTTCTTGTTGGTGTCGTTCCTCCACACATCGCTGAGCTTGCTCACGCTCTGCGAGAAATCCACGTGAATCCTTCGGTCGTCAATGAGGACGTCCTGCATCTTGAAGTAGGCAGCCTCGCACGACGCCTTGTCACCATACTCGATGAAAGCGTACTGCAGGCTGTCGCCCGTCTTCTTGTCGCGAATGACCTCGCAGCTGAGAATGGTACCGAACCGCCCAAAGATGAGCTCGAGGTCGCCGTCCGTCGTGACGGGGTTGAGCTTGCAGACGAAGAGGATATTCTCGGGCGGCGCGACCTCGGCGAACGGCAGGTCGCCCATCATCTCGAGCGTCAGGGCCTGGGCGCGCGCCTCCCTGTCGCGGCGGCGCTTCTCAATGGCGTCCTCGCCGAGGGCGTCGTCCTCGTGCAGCGCCGCCTCGTCGGCGATGCGCACCGTCGCGAGCTGCGCCTTGGTAGGCGGCGGCGAGCTGCTGGGCTCGCGCAGGCCTGGCGGGTCTGGGTACGGGTCGTCGAGGATGACTGTGTGCTTGATGCGGATGTCGATGAGCGGGTGGCCCTTGTCGTTGACGATGGCCTCATTGATCTTCTCCAGGACGTCGAACCCCTCGACGACCTTGCCAAAGATGGCCGCCTTGCCGTCGAGAAAGTCCGTCTCCTCGCCCAGCGTGACGATGAATTGCGAGGCCGCGAACCTCGTCTCGGGGTCGGAATCGGATGGCGCCGTGGCCATGCTGACGGTACCGCGTTCGAGATGCTTCAGCTTTGGATGGAATAACGCCGGGAACGTCTTCTGTTTGCTGTCGCCCGACAGGAGCCCCCAGATGGATGTGCCGCCATCGGATTCTTTCGACGTGGGACCCAATGGGTCACCGGTCTGGAAGGAGAAGGATTTTTGAATCGAGTGTATCGGAGAGAAATTATAGTACTTGGCTTTGCAGAGCTTCAGAAAGCTGCGCGGGAGCTGGTTAGCTGAGCATGAGCTGTACGGGACGGCATGTTGGACGACTTACTTTTCGCAGAGCTTTGGTGCATAGTCAACCAGCAGGTCAATGACAATGTCCCCAGAGCTGGTCTCAAGGAGCACCGACATGGTGAGCTGCTGTCCTTGGAGGTCTCTTTGTGCGTGAGGGGTCCCAATGTATTGAAGATGAATGGACGGGTAAGTGTGTTGCGACGGAAAGGCTCACGGCATGCCCAAGGTGTTCACCCAGCGTTCTAGAAGACTAGAGGCGCATGGGTTGAAGCTTCCTGCCAAGTCGAAGGATATGCTTAGTCATGCACTGTGACGTATGGCTGGTCAAGGCATGTCACTCGGAGAAATTATGTGGGTCCGCAATTTATTTCACAGGTACCATATAATTTGACAGCTGGTACACAGCAACGATCAGTCTGAAGCTCGACGAGATCCTATGACCAGGTCACTAATAAACCCCGAATAGAGGTAATTTGAAATTTTGTGCTAATACTATGATAAAGGTCCTTGCAATCAAGGACACAACAAGACAAAATCGACGGCTGTTGCGTCAGGGTATCATACATCGACCACGCCGGATCATGCATTCAAGCCATCCTGGCTCTATTCCTTTTGTTTCCTTTCCGAAGTGGTGTCCTCACAACGAATCCTGAACTCCGAAATGCCACTATCCTGGTGAGGATCCCACGCTGTATGAAAATGAAGATGCGTCTCCATGACGGTAGAGAGTGCGAAAGTCAACGCGTGCCGCGCTATGGCGCGCTCTTCCTACGTCTCTCGGAGCGAAGCTCCTTCTCCGTGTCCATTAACCGGCATTGAACCCAAGTTCGGAAGGCGCCGTCGGCTTTGGCTTCATGGCCGTTGAGCAGCTCTGTGAGGGCACGCTTCATGCCCTCGTTGACGTCGAAGAGACGGCGCTCCTCCTCGGCGACTTGGTACAGGATTGATTCGTCGGCCAGGGGCTGCAGCGAGGTGCTGCTCCGGCGCGTTCGGGGAGGACCGGCAAGCGAAGATCGACGACTGTGACGCCTGCTAGAAGGATACTGGCCGAAAGGCGTACAGGAGCTACGGGTGGGCGATACAGCCGGCGACGATGTCAGCGAGGTGGTACTCGTCGAGAACATGGCTGTTGTTCGGATGGTGTCCAAGTTTTGGCGGAGTTCTTCGTGTTGGTTGTGGAGGTCGAGATAGCGCTGCATGGCGAAGCTGGGAGCCGATGCGTCCATGATAGGCTCGTAGAGACTTGAGGTGACTGGCGACGTGCCTTGGGCGTTGATGCGAAGGGTGAATGATGGGTGTCGTTGGACTAATGACGAGCCCATTGAAAGCCCGTGTCGTGGTTACGGGTTGTTTTGTTTACTTATGACGTGCGGGAAGGGCAAGTGAAAACTTCGCAGGGCGTCGTAAGGGTCCACGTCGTGCGTCTCGTGAGTTCAGACTAGTCAAGTCTTCTGCCGGGAGAGGAATGTTTGGGCCACTGGTGGTGTGCGTGGTTGAGGAAAGTGGGGGTACCGGGGTTTGTCAGGGAGATGTCGACTGGTATTGAGACAGTCTGGAAGTGTATGGGGACGGGAAGATATATAAGTCAAAGCGGTTTCGGGCTTCGTCCGTGAGGCGAAAGAGGGTACCGAGGCGAAGAGTCGTAATGAGAGGTAGGCAGACGGAGCAGCGATAGCTCCTGTCAGCTTGAGCTCTAGGTGTGTCGATTTACGTGATGGAGGGTGGTGGCGGTGCGCTGTTCCCGCAGTCTCGGTCGTAGGCACACCTGGTGGTGGTGTCGAGATGATTGTGATCCGGTGGGAGATGCAGGCAGGGTCAGGTTAAGACGCATGCATGAAGATCCAGTCTGGGATGCCTTGGTATTGCAGAGACTGGCGTTGGTGGTGGCAGGATGGTGGTGGCAGGTTGGTGCAGGTTGATTGGTACGTGATTCTGATCGAGCGTGCGGCAGGTATGGGGGTGTCAGGACGACCAGGCCTTGCGCGACAGCTGTGCGTTGCAATGGGGTGGGGAGGCAGTGGTTGGGGACGTTGGACAATTCTGAAGGGTCAAAAGAATAAAAATAAAAAAAGGCACGGCAGTCAGAGTATATGAGTGAGAAATGGATCCTCGTGTCGTGTCGAACCGAAGTGTTCCTCTTCCAAGGTTTGGGATCAACCGTGCCGTTCAAGAAGATCCGTTCGATCAACTAGCGGAATGATGGCGCAATGTGCTGGGGCGTGATGATATCAAGATGGGCGAACAGAATGGGTCTCAATGTCGCATCGACCTCGTTCTCGACGTTCTGGCCAGGTCGGAGCGAGGGGGTAGGGGGGGCAGCCAAGGGGGTCCGCCGATGTTGGAGATGGGTCGGATTGGATGGATACGAAAGGTATGGGGGGGGGACAATCAGGAGGAAGAGGGGAGGGGCTGCCGGACGTAGCTCCTGTGCCGCCCGGTAACCGCCTTCCCAGTTGATTTTAGTCGTTTGGCGTGGTGCAATTCGTCCAGCACTATGCGCTATCAAATCAAACTTAGTGCCCAGTCTGCGAGCCAGCCCAGCCAACACCAGTACGGTACAGATCCGGTACCCTCCCTGATGTACTTGGATATGTACAGCACAGAGAGGAATCAATTTGTGCTATCGACGGCGGCTCCCGATGGTATTCGTGCCGGCCGAGACAAGGATAGCACAATGAGGGAGGGTGGCGATCGCAGTTGACGATAAGGCGTCAGCAGTGGATGGTTCCGGGCAAGCGCTAGTGGCAGCCTGTGGCGCTGATGGTCGTAGTCGTGGTGCTCGTCACCGCCGTGTGGCGATGGTCTTCTTATCGACGTCGAGCGTGCGTCCTGGGCGCCGTCAGGGGAGGCACCAGCAGCGGCCGCCGCCTGGGTGCTCTGAATGGGGGCAGATGCAGGCACTGAGGATGCCCACGCTACGTCGCAGTGGTACATTGAACTTCTTTGTTCGTTTCGTGAATGGGTCGCCAGGTTTGAAATGATGAATGGCAGGTCTAAAATTTGACGGAGATTATCTTCACACAGGACACTCACCAACAAAGGCTGCCGGCGATTCTATTTAATTACCTCCTGTCCTCGTCGTCAATTTCCCAGAGGATGTGACGTACCATTGAAACAGCCTGCCTAAAGCCTGCCTTTCCCCTGCCAGCCGCCGTCTGTCAAGCCGCCCTGGCGCACTTGAACCCCTGTGGACCGGGGCGCTGGGCTAAGCCTCTGGGTCTCAAGCTTTCGCCCACGTTGTTTTTCCTTTTCGCAAATTCGTCACTGGCAAACCTAGAGTAGCCTCCACGTCCCCTGATCAGAGACACCAGCAAATGCTTCTGGGAGCCAAGCCGGGGCGACGTCAACTGTGCGCTTGTGTACTGATGGGAACCCTGCCCGGCTTCGCCAGCAATCCTGCTTGTGCTTGTGCCATTGATTGTGCGTAGTCACCTTGTTAGGTGTCTAGGCGGAGACGAGGTTCCTCGGATCGTGATGGCACATCTGGCACCCTTCACTCGTGATCCAAAAATCCACACCCCTTCAGCAATCCTGACATGGCTGCTGTGTTGGCAAGTCGCCATGATCGAACAATCGACGGTTCTGCCCCATTTGATGATCGCCCACGGCGCATGCGCCTCCTGCCCACGAGACCGTCCATCCACGCAGTCGTCGGACGTACTCGGTAGACGTCTTGTTCTGTGTCGTACCTTGCAGGATCGTGGGCGATCACACGAGGGGGAGCAACAGGTGCAGCGGCCGCAGCGATGACTTCATCCCTCGTGCCGACCTCCCATTCGGCACTCTATCCGGAGGGCACCACCCGTTGCGCGGTGCATCCCAACCGGTAAAGTGTTTGACGTGTTCGGCCTGTCTTTCGATTTGGTCGACATTGGCATGCGTGGGAGTGCACCCCCACAAGCTTCCGTCAGACCCTGGAACATTACGACACCACAGGAACAACATATCTCTCGCCTCGCACCTCTTTGGAGGAATCCTACCCGGCGACCAGTAAACAATTGTCTCCTTGACCTGGTGTGGACTTCGGTGAGAAAAGGAGCTCCCTTGTCCTGGCTTACCCCGGGCTTCTATTCGGAAAAGAACCTCCGGCCAATGATCGGTTTGGATCGAGAGCTTCTGGAACACTGCGACGTCCCACGTACATTTTTGCTCTCTGAGAGCCCGTCATGAGCCACATCAGAATGCATCAGATGCAAGGATGGGAAAGCACACGCCACACCCTTTGACGCATCCATCTCCATCTGGGGGAATGAGCCACGCTTCTGCCACAGTCCTCGTCGCCGAGAGCGTTGCCCGTCTTTGACTTGCCACCACATCAACACCACCCATGACATCTCCCAGTTTCGTGACAGATGTAATACTGCTACCGTCTTTGTCCGAATCCTCCCTGAAAACCCTGAAAACCCTGAAAACCCCCTTGAGACGGACCCTTTCCTCCGCCAACTGCTGCGTGTGTGTGGCTTGTCTGACGTAGCACCTCGAATGATGCCTGCCCCTCCTACAACTTTGAAGGCCGCTGGCATTCTTGACCTCGCCAGTCCTGCCTGCTCTAGCAACCCCAGTAGCCGCACACCCACACACCAAAGTGCCAGCAAACGCGAGCTGCGAAACCCATCCGACCAGATCCATGCGCTCGACGCTCACAGCGACAGAGTTATCTCACCAGTTCCCACCAGTTGATCACCTGTACACAGTGTCATTCGTCGGACGAGGCCAGTTGTATCCTGCCACCCCTTCTCCGGCAAAAAGCCCTTACGCAAGTCGTCGCCCGCCCCCGCCGCCGCGGGGAGGTTCCGTAGGTGCCGGCGGATCAGGCAGCGCCCATCCCCAGATACGCCAGCCAGCCCTCAGTGCGACTCCCCGTGGGCAATTGACTTTGGGTCATTGCAGCATCTTTCCAGGTTTGAACCAGCGGTTGGGCTCGATGCAAACCTTGATGTGGGAGATCGCCATGGGCGCTTGCCTCGAAGCGGCAGCCACGCAGCTGACTCTCTTGTACATCCCAAGTCTCCAGAGGTGCACCCTTTCGTTCTCGCGGCTAAGCTATCTCGATTGAACCACCAGCCCCCGAGTGGTATGGATCTTGGTCACTTGGCTGTCGAGCTTGCTATCACGCGGCTGGTTTGTGCTCACCCAGAGGATGGTCTCGGACAGGCTCCTTTGCAAAATGTACCCTTCGGACCGATCGAGGTGAGAGGTTGCTTTGCATGAAAATGGAGAGTCCGGGGAGTTTCACCGGGGCGTAATACGTTTCTTCCGTTTGCGACCTCAGAGACAAATCCCTTACATCGGACGGACCTCCCATTGGCAGCCCCCCAGACAAGAAAGGCTGCACCACGCAGTAATGCATGGGCATCAGTCATGGCAACACCAACAGCGTATCAAGAGTTTCCATCAGTCAAACTGGAGCGCTGACAACGTAACTGAACCGACGCTTGATGCCTCTGCAGCCGCAAAGCCATGACCTATGACACCGCGCGGCCTCCCCCATCAGTGGTATGATGGTCGCGCCAGGCGAGGTGCTAAGACGACCCGAGCTTGTAAACTCTTGAATGCTACGTAATTGAGACGGGACCAGCGGTCTTACGTTGATGGACTGATGATCGACGCCTTGGCAGAGAGGCATCCTACTCTATCCCCACATCAGCTGTAGGACCCTTAAACGTCCACCTGGATGGGGCAGACTTTCGGCCGAGCTGATTTTGAAGGGACCGCCTGCCCTGAAGGCCAGGCCTGGAGTGGGCGCTCGCCATAAGACTTGTGTGTGGCGTAGGAGGCCATGGGCGGCGGATAAGATCCGGAGCGTCTTGTTGGGTCACCTTGAGTGTCCGGATATGCGGCTGATAGGGACAACCCACCCAACCATCGGCGCTGTCTGCATCTTATCTGATGATGACAGTCGACTTGAGCTGGCGCGAGCGTGATGAAGGGCTTGCCAAGTTTAGCGTTTCAGTGAAGTTCAATCAACTTGCAGATTCCGGTCTTGCGACTTAGCTAACTTGTCATTCCCGTCTGTAGGCCCAGGTCGTCCGAGACAAGGGGTGGTGTTGCCAACGTCAAATGGAGAGACTACAACGATACTTCAAGAGGTAGTCTCCCGAGGTATACTCCTCGTGGGTTCAACATGGTCCGTGGTGCGTATCAGATGACAAGTTGGCAAATGGCTGAAGCGAACATGACATAAGGGTGACGAACTACAGATTAATCGTTGCAAACAGCTCTTCAAAGTAATGGCATATGGCGAATTACTAAAAAAAAAAGGTTATCTGTAAGTATGCCGAGGTAGGAGCAAACGTTCCTACCATTGGCCTTGCGTCTCTTTCAAGGCTCTGTTCATCTCAGGGAGGGGACTGGGAACTGGTGCATTTGAGTAGTGATATTGACGCTTGCTGTAAATCGCCTGGTATTGTCACGATTTTCGTATCCTACAAATTCGAATAGGCACAGCATCGCTGTAGAACGGGCCGGCCTGCTCGGCTTCCGGGGCTATCGGGAAGGACAACTCATTCAACTCCATCCCTGCATCACGGCAACGACTTTGAAAAGCATTGAAAGTGGCCTCGTTGCGTTCCGTTGCCGAGATGAGGACCTCAACCTGAGGAAACATGCCGAAAAGCTCCTCGATGGTTCCGATCAACGGTGGTATGATGCTCTGATCGTACGTAATGTCTGCCCCGAAGACAACATCGATAGCCATACCTTGGTTCCACTGTTGGTCCTCGGTGCCGACAAGTGCGTGACCCCATTTAAGATCCATCGGAGTGATTATCGGGCTGTCTTGCAAGTCGTTCAGGAAGAAAGACTCTGGCAAGTTGTTGATGACATCGTCGGACCCGTCAGAGGCAATAACCTGTGCCGCACAGAGGTGCTTCGCACATAAAATGGCCAGATAGCCGGTACCGGCGCCGAGCTCAAGTACACGCTTGCCGCGGATTAGTTCTGGGTTGACGCAAAAATACTGGCCCAGATGAAGCGCTGCCTCCCACGTACGAAGGCCGGTAGTGCCAGAGGCCGAGATCAAAGATCGGGCCTCCAGAAGTGTGATTTCCGAATTTGCAGCCTCTTGTGAAGTCGCCGTTTGTGTGAGCTCGGACAGATGATATGTCACATAGGATTTTTGCTGGGCGCCAAATGTCTCTGGAGGAACGGGAGAGGCGAGCAGTTCCGCAAGTGCATCCATGAAATCCTCGGAGACGCCCTGATACCTCATTAGACTACAGCAGGGAACGTTGGATGGTTGCCAGGCACATACATGGGTGTCCCAGTCCTCAATGCTGGATTCAACCCTCTGCACCAATTCTTTCAGGACTCTGAGCTGGTACCTGACAGGCGGAGAGTAGCTAGGGCCGTCAGGAGAGAACAGTTGCTTGTGTATGGCTTTCTGTGTGCTCTCCTGGCGCAGGACTGGTCCTTCTGGGTAATCAAGATCTCGTTCTAGTTGCAAGAATTGACGACAGAATCGATTGACCTGGGCCTGGGACAGCACACGCGTGTCTTCCATCGTGAGAGTCTCGCAAAATGCAACACCGCAAGCACGGTTGATTACTTGAGTTGGTGTAGCAATTATAAATGTGGATATGGCTTCGGGTGAGAGTAGAAGCTCCCAGCTACTGAAAGGGCACTTGCGCCTGGCCAGTAAGGGTTTATCGGTGATGGCGAAACCTCCAAACCACAAAAGTCTCCCTCTGAGTGCCAGGAGTTTTCCTGGGAAGTAATTCACGGGCTTGATTGCTTGAGTCGCAGCAGCTTGATTCTACTGTGCTCCACGGCATTGACTATTAGCGGCCGTGACCATGGTAGTGACCGCCATCGGTGAAGTTGAGCCACAGTGCGAGACGCGACGGAAGACTGGACCCATATCACGTGATCAGACCACACCAGCCGACGGCCTGAGCCCCAAGGCAGCACAGATTCCTAGGGCTTGCCTGCCCACGGCTAAGCGAACCAGTAGGCCGCCCCTCCGCGAATTTTCATTCTCGCCGCCCCATCACAATATCTCGACAACCTCGAACGACTGACCCAACAGGCACCTGTCTCCTCGCCAATCCTCACGAGACATCAACACCCATCAGTCGCAAAGATGGCGGATTCCGACGCCCCCGTCACGCTGCGTACGCGCAAGTTCATCCGCAACCCCCTGCTTGGCCGCAAGCAGATGGTCGTGTGAGTTTTTACCCTCCAGACATCCCACAGCCTTTTGCGCAAGTTGCCCCGTGTATCCTCCCCTCTCAATCCGAGAAGGCCACGACGATGCAGAAAAGAAACCGACCTCCCGACAACGATCGCCACACGATCACGCTCGAGGCCGACCGATTTCTCATCGATACTCGAACTGCGAACGGACAAGGGAAAAGGGAAAAAAAGAGAGGAATAACAATACACACACACACACACACACACAAACCAAACAACTCGTGGCTGTCCGACTGCCTGAGCGTGCCTTCTTGGATGAGATACTTGGGATACGCGGAGTGCGAGGACATGTGATCCAACAGAACAAAATATGCTGACCTAGCGTGTGTGTTCCAGTGACATCCTCCACCCTGGCCGTGCCAACATCTCCAAGGAGGAGCTCCGCGAGAAGCTCGGCTCCATGTACAAGGCCGTCAAGGACCAGATCTCCGTCTTCGGTCTGCGCACCCAGTTCGGTGGCGGCAAGACCACCGGCTTCGCCCTCGTCTACGACTCCCCCGAGGCCATGAAGAAGTTCGAGCCCCGCTACCGCCTCATCCGCGTCGGCCTCGCCACCAAGATCGAGAAGGCCAGCAGGCAGCAGCGTACGTCCTCACCACCACCGTCATCGCCGTCATCATCGTATAGCGAGACGACGACGACAATGGCGGGCCCCACAAGCGCATGTCAGCCAGCTAACATGTTCCCACAGGCAAGCAGCGCAAGAACCGCCAGAAGACGCTGCGCGGTACCGCGAAGGTCAAGGGTGCCAAGAAGAAGAAGGAGACTTAAATGGGTCACGACCCCAGGGCGACAACCGATACCCACCCGGCCGGGCCTCCTCCTCGACCGATGGAGAGAAGAGATCGAAGGGTCCCGCGGCGCGCCCTCTGCCCGGCCGGAGCGGAGCGGATTGGGGGAGGAAGTCTGGAGGGCCAGAGATTCTTTGGGGCTTCCTTCCTCTGGCGGGTCTTTTGTGCATTACGTACGGGCTCGTTGCATCGCTCGGCACTTTTTCTCGCGTGTCGATAAAAATTGGCTCTTTAGAGTACGAGGCGAAATCGGAAGGGAATGGGTTCATGATTCTCTCAATACAATGCATCCAAAATGATTTGTTTGACTAGTGGTGATTCTGTGCGAGGTTTTGACCGAGCACGTACTGTGCCATGCTCAACAACGATACCAACATACTCGTGATGGCCACCAGAAGACATGCCAGTGTCATTCAACCTCGAGATCGATCGTGACCATGCACTCGTCGCGATTGTAATAGTGATTGACAGGTGGATGTGGTGTCTTGACCATGCCTCCTAGTTAGTAGAAGCATGCTATGCTGTCCTAAGAATGAAAACTCCGGTACACCTCTGCTAAAAACCTATCCACTTACAGCCCATGCAGAACGCCAATGCCAGCGTAACCAACAATCAAAATTCGAAGCCATAAGCCTATGATTCCAGGTCGTCACTCCTTCGCCCTCTTTGACGGCCTCAATGAATCGTCAGGCAGACCACTCCTCTTAGTGCCCGGCAAACTACCCGTCCTGATGTCGTTGTCGTCCTGACTCACTCTCCTGTGAGGGTACTCATTCTTCAGCCCTTCGAACGCCCCAGCGGTCAGTCGGTCACCCGTGCTGAAGAACGGATGCTGCAGCGCCTTAGCGGCTGTAAGTCGTTCCAGAGGGTCATACTCCAACAGACTCGAGAGAAGTTTGAAGCCTTCAACGCCAAGAGACACAAGGGGTCCGGAAGATTGCGACGCCTGCGATGCATTGCTCGCAGCACCTTGGCTGACTGTACTCCAATACCACTTTTCAAGGTTGGAGCCCTGTGGCAGACTTTGATGATGGCTCCGGTGGTGATGGTGTGCAGAGGACATGGGTGGCTGCAGCGTCGCGAGCTGGGCGTACTCTGGCATGGAAGATAATAGCGGCCAGCGCTCTTTGGTCGGCAGACCCATGATGTCCACAATCTTTTGCATCTGATTCCGCTGAAACGGAACAGTCTTCTTGCTGTCCATCTTGGCCTCCTCCCCCTTGAAGATGGGGCGCAGGGACAACAGTTCTGCAAAGATGCAGCCAACAGCCCACATGTCAATGGCAGGCGTGTAATGCCTGGAACCTAGGATGAGCTCGGGAGCGCGATACCATATAGTGACGACGACCTTATCACCGCTGAAGAGTGAGTGCAAGGGCTTGTCAAAGCGGCGGGCAAGGCCCAGATCGCCAACCTTGACCTCCCCAGCCGAAGTGACCATGATGTTGGCGGGCTTCAGATCGCGATGCAGAACCCAGTTGGAGTGGATGTACTGGCATCCGTTCAGCAGCTGGAACATGATGCTTTTGACGGTCTGCGAAGGAATTGGGTGCCGGGGTTGTTGTGTGTGGTGGTGGATAATTTGGAGAAGGTCGTGCTCCGCATATTCAAACACCATGAAAATGCACTTGTCCTCCAGGATGATCTCGACGAGTCTGATAACGTTGGGGTGTTTCAACTCGCTGCAAAGCGACATCTCGCGGATGGCACTCTGAGAAATGCCCGTGTACGAGATTTGCTCGCCCTCCTTATCGGGTTTGAACTTCTTGATAGCAAACTCGCCCTTCTGGCCTTGCCGGCCAACGGCCTTGTAGACACGGCCATATGTTCCGCTGCTAATGAAGCCAATGACCTTGTACCTCTCTATGACGCGTACCTTGGACTGGTAGGCAACATGCCCGGTACCTCGATCTGTTGGATCTATAACACATTGTCAGCCCCTGACGTAGTGTAACACATGATGACGTGAAAGTAAGGATGTAGGTCATGTACAGGAACTGTGAAGCCCGCCGTATCCGACGCCTCTCCACATGGCTGAGGATTCAAGGAGGTGAGAGACAAGTGGCCGCTTGCACTCGCAGATAAAGACAAATATCAAAGCAGCCTGCCCATTTGATGATGCGGATCTTATGAAGAAGAAACTGGTGAGACGAGACTGTAGTGTCCGTGATTCCCCTTCGATAGGGTGGCGTGGTGTGGTACACTATGGAGAACCGGCCAAAGGCTCACACCGCCGGATGTCGGGTACGTTCGAGTGCGTCGAGTATCCCGACTGTGGCATGGGCCAAAACAATCCCAGGAAGATGAAAGACTCGAAACGCACACGAGGGGGGGAGTGAAAGCGCTCATATGAGTGCAGCGTGCATGTAGGTCGGTAGAGCGCGCCAAAAAAGCAATACCCGACAGCAGGGGTTCGAGGGGTTGGAAGGCAGAATGCGAGAGCCGACCTGTTGTGGCTAAGCTGCCCGACCTGACCTGGTCTTGAATGGAATTGATCCAAAAAATCGACGAAGTGGATGGATGCAGTCCTTTTCCCCACGCTCAGGCGACCCAAAGACAAGTGGCGTCTCTCGCAAGCCGGTGGAGCATCGATGGGGGGGGGACCAGTTACGGGCTGGAACATGCACAAGCACAAACGAACATGCGCACTCGCAGGCTGGTTGCAGGTAGCAGAGGCCGGGGCAGTCACCGGGTAGCTACCCGGGGGGCTGGAAAAATAAAGAAGGGGGATAGATCAGATGTATGTGTGCGTGTGTGTTTGTGCGTACGTGCGTTGTGGATGGATGAATGAAAGAGTGTGGATTGCGCCCCCTCATGATCGGCTCGCACGATGTGGACAGAAGTGGATAAGTCCGGAGTCAGGTCAAGAGAAGGATGAGCATGGGACATGGAACATGGGGCATGAATGCATATGTCCCGATTGGCATGGAAGACAACAAACGAGCAAGATGGAAAGGGGATGGAAAATGATGCCAAGTTGGGAGAGACTGTGGTGATGAGGGGACGGACGAGAGCTGTGCCATGCCACGAATACACCAGAAGAGAAAGCGCATATGCAACGTACCTTCGAAAGCTGCTTGCACACTCCTCTTCAGATTGCCGGTTCTGATCCCTGACACTGAAGAGGGACCCGAAGCGGCGGATGGCGGATTCGTCAGACTCATCGTCTCCGCTCAATCTCTCGTGGATCTGTTCAGATTCCTTTGCCCCCTCATTCGGTTTGTCCGGGGTTTGGTGGCTCGTTGGCTCAGTGGCTCTCCGATTAACTGGCTCGGTCGGTCGCTTGGCTCGGCTCCCCAACGCCAGAGTGACTCGCTGTTTCTCCGTCCGAATCCCGATAGATGGTTCAGGCAAGCAGGACGCCGGCTGAGTGCGACAACCAAACTACCGGTTTGGTGGGGTAGGCCGATGGAGGTGAAGGGAATGCCGCTGGATCATTTAGCAACAACAACCTGTCGCGGGTAGAAGGCCGCGTAGGCCCGTCGGTCGTTCGGTCGGTTTGTCGATCCAAGCAGGATCAAGCAACGTGCGAACGGACGGACAGACAGAGACGCGTGAGCCTTGTTTGCCAATGGCCAATCGGCAATGAGTCGCGTAGTTTTGCTTCCTGCTGATGATGTTCGAAGGTAGGGCGCAAGTCGTTTGGAGACCTGACGGGCGTTGGGGGTGATGGCAAACAGTTGTCTCCTTGCCCCGACGAGGGAGGGGGGCTTGAAGTGACACGGCAGCTGCGGTGGCGGCCCAGTGCAGTCGCGTTGTGTGGTTGTGATGCACTACTGGCTAAAATGGACGGCGGAGAAGGGTTGAGGATGCGCCAACAGTTGAGACTGAGTATATCTGACACACGTCGTCAACCGTCTGTATATTGTGATGAGGATATGGAAGAGTAGGTAGGCAGCCTTGGTGTTTGCTGTCTGGCGAAAATGACACGGAAGCGACTGGTGAGAGGCCACTGGGCGGATGGTCTGCACCTGAGCTAACGGCATGGCACCTTCCCGTCTTCCCTTCCCTAGGTAGTCAGACCTCGACTGCCTGTGGTAAGTGAGATGCACGCGTGTCACACCGAACGGGGCTGCGCCACCACGGTGCGGATATGATCCCATCCGACACAGTATGCTCGCGGCCAATGCAACCTCAGCACGGTTGCTGTGTCTTACCTGGCTGGGTAGGCGGATAGCTAGCATTATACCCGTGTGAACAGGTCAGATCGGATGGAGAACCAAGTCGAATCAACTTTTCTTTTCATCATGCTCTGCTTCTAATCGTGGCTGGAAAAAAATCAAACCCCTTGCGACCTATCACCCTGTGAGACCACTTATCGAGGACCAAGCTTCTCAAGCACCCGCGGGCCCTGCTCGTCCCACTCAGCCTTGGTCACCCACATGCTCTCCTTGTCCGCCATGATGTTGGCCAGCACGGCACCTCCCAGGAAGACCATGTGCCTTCGGCGCGGCGGGTCCTCTATCCGGACCTTGAACTTGCTTAACCGCTCAGGGTTACCGCCCAGGACGCGCGTGAGCCACAGCTGCTTCAACTCTTTTTCCAAACGTGACGGAAGACCAGGGTACATGCTGCTACCGCCCGACAGGACGATGGCCTTGAATAGCGACGAACGCACGTCGACATCGGCCGCCTGGATCGTGTTGAACAGGAATTCGGCCATGCCCGGCTGCTCGCAGTCGACGAGGTGCGGCTGGAACAGACACTCGGGTGCCTCGAAGCGCTCGCTGCCGACGCGGATCACGCGACCGTCCGGTAGCGTGTAGCTCTCCACGAGCGTCGTAGTATCCTCGCTCAGCCGCTTGTCGAGCTCCAGGTCGTACGAGACATAGCAGAGCTTCTCCTTGATCTGGCGCACAGTCTCAAAGTCGGCCGTTCGGTTGAGCGCGTATCCGCGGCGGAGCAGCAGCGCGATGAGGTTGCGCGTGACATCGCGGCCCGCCACGTCCAGTCGCCGCGTCAGGTGGTTCAGTACCACGGATTCGTACACGGGCACAATATGGGTGACGCCGTCACCCGAATCGACGACAACGCCAGAGCTGAGGCCTGCGTCTGTTAGTCTTCCGCGTGCGCCTTCCAAGCTCCATTCCAGAACGTACCCTGGGCGTAGAGCGCCAGCACGGCCTGGATCGCAACGTAGACGCCGCCGAAGCCGTACCGGTCGAACATGACCTCGCACATTTGCTCGCGGTTCCTCAGAGGGTTCATGGGAGGCTCTGTGAGGAGGATCTTGCGGCCGCGCGGGTCGACCTTCATCTTCTCGAAAAAGGTGTAGTCCCAGAGGTGCTGCATGTCATCCCACTTCTTCACAATGCCATTCTCCATCGGGTAGCTGATCTGAAGCATGGTGCGCGCCGCGGCCGCTTCGTCACCGCACATAATGTCCTTGATGGCCAAGTCATTGTCGCCCTTTTCCTCCGTTCGCAGGATCGGCCGTCCGACCATCGATGGGTATTGGAACTCGGGAAAGTTCTGCGCGGCATAGCCGACCTTGAGGAAGCCGGTTCCTCCGTCGAGGACTGCGTGACGTCGTTAGCTAGGTACGGGGTCGGCGGCAGCCAAAGCAGGCGGAGCGGCAGCGGACGGCCAAAGGATACATACCAATTGGTGCCTCCGCCATCTTGAAGTGTGTTCGCGAGAGCTGCGAATAGCCTGCAGGTGGAGGGAGAAAGTCGATGTCGGATCGCACGGGCTCTGAAAGCTTGCCAACACACGAGGAGGGGATTGGGAGATCAGGAGTGCGGGTGATGCTACGTAAGGCAGGCGTTGTCGGTGGTGGGGTATGGTCAGCGCACCGACCAACCTCGCCTTTGCTCGACTGGGCTTCCTGCCACCGCCTCCGCCGCCCCCGTCATCAAGTGGTGGCTGAGAGCTTTGTCACGTGATACCCCGCAGCTGGCTCACTCACTCACCAGCTTCTCATGAGCGTTTGATCGTCTTCACCAATCACCCGGGATCAGCGGCAATTAGGAGAGGTCCCCACTTGATCCCGTAGAATGATGTAAGCGCGACTTGAGGGCGTACACGGGAGGGGTTGAGCAGATAAGTGAAGGAGGGTGAAGATGGCGCAACGCCATGAGAAGAGTAGACTATCATCCAGCACACACGTCTATCTCACTCAGTGTCAAAAGGTGTTCCATATCAGCCGTCACCATGGCGCAGCGACCGATTAATATCCTGGTCATTAACCCTAATTCATCCCAAGACATGACCCATGGGATGGAAACAGCCGTCAAAGGCATGACCTCCAACGATGTAAGTCAGGCCACCCGCTTGCGGTACCAGATAGCAGGCTTACTTCAACTCCCTTCCCGTCTCCAAGTCTATCAAAGTCTATACCTATACAGCCCCGCCAGAAAGTCCCCCCAGCATCGACAATGGCGAACACATAGAAAGCAGCACCGAGATTGTCCTCAAGGACCTCGCTCACTCTGGCGAGCTCGAGAAGTACGACGGCGTCCTCGTCGCCTGTTACAGCGTCCACACCCTCGTCGACCGCCTGTCCAGGCAGTACGGCGACCGCCTCGCCGTGACGGGCATATTCGAGGCGAGCATCCTCACAGCCACGGCGTTGCTGCCGCAGACCATTGTCGGGGCGCCGCCGAGCCAGTGGGGCATCGTCACGACCGGTTCGTTCTGGGAGAAGCATCTCGCTGACGGCGTGACGGGTTATCTGGGCCAGGTTGGCAGCGGCGGCAACACCAAGTTCAAGGGTGTCGTCTCATCGGGCCTGACTGCGGGTGATTTTCACCACGTGAGCCCGGAGGAGGTCAAGGCCAAGCTTGAGGAGGCGACGAGGAAGCTCCTCGGCGATGGCGGCGTCAGCTGCATTGCGATGGGGTGTGGAGGCATGGCTGGGCTGGAGGACATTATTCGGTCCACGGCCGTTGCGCAGTATGGAAAGGAGAAGGGCGGCAACATCTACGTTGTTGATGGCGTCAAAGCAGGCATCATGCAGCTGGAGCAGACGATCAGGAGCAGACGGCTGTTCCAGCCGAATGAGGCGTGAAAATAGGGCTTGGTGCAATATGGCTACTGCGTAGTTTCTTGATCAACGAAGAGAATAATTAATAGCTCACCGTCGCCTCGTGGGCAGTCATTGTCATGGTGCGAGAGAGCGGGCGGTTGGATGGTATTATTACTTCCACATCAAGCCTTGCTGTGAAAACCTTTCCGGTTGTGGCGCCCTCGGAGCCCATGATATTGGACTTGCGGTCAATCATGATGATACAGACCGTGTTGTTCTCGAGCCACTGCTTAAGTTCTTTGACCTCACCATTAGTGAGGAACCAAGCTCGTTCTGAATGGGCAGCTACTTACTGGCCAGGGCTTGATGGGACCTGGGGGGTAGCATCGCCGCCCTTGGTAGCACCCTTGGCGAATTAGAATGCCATTCCGGTGACTTGCACGAAGACACCTCCAGGACTGGCGAAAGTAAGGAGAAGTGGAATAGCAACATATTGCGAAGTGTCTTGTTGGCAGTTATTTGAAAGCCGAGGAAGACAAACTTCACATAAGGTGCTCCATAGTCATGTCACTTCACAGTGGGAAAAGATCTTTCTTAGACATGCGTCTGCTACTCCATGTCGGCACGCCGCATGAAATTGTCGTCCCCTTTCACAAGTGTGTGGGGTGGAATTGCAGGAGACTGAAACTGCTCAGCACAACGAGGGTTGGTCCTCGATTCCGAGCGAGATCGCCAAGTCATCGAGACACATGCTTGGCTGTATGTCCACCTTGTCAAGCTGTATGTCCACCTTCTCAACCACACCGTAAGAGGCTCCGAGGATCTCTCCACAGCGCCTTTTAGAGGCTGCAGAATAGTCCAATGATGCGGCGATGAGGTATCCCGACAGGGATGACCCTAATCCAGCTGCTACCGCCGTGCGTTTGTTTCACAGACTGTACCACGCAGATTGACGTGGAAAAGCAGCTGGTCAAAGCATTTCCGACAATGAGAGCACCTGGCGTTTGACACTGGCGGCAATCATCAGCTTGATCAACAGGCCGGGTTCTGAGACGAGACCGTACCCTTACTCCATATCGCGTTTGATCTATAACACCAGTACTACAGGCCAACAAGAGCCGTAAAAAGCCTCTAGTCTGCTCATGGTTCCGACAGAGAAAGTGCCAAAGTCCTCAACCTCGCATGGGTCTATCCAAGAGACGAAACTGCATTGTATTCTACCGGTGAATTCTGCCCAAGCTCGCCATCCCATTCATTAAAAAAAAATGTTGAAATGGCAAACCGGTTTGGCACGGTGGAAGCCCAAGAGAGACCCGATATCTGCTCCAAGACCCATCAGGGAGTATGAAAAAGCCATCATGCGAGTCCAGAGACTGCTCACGGTAGGTTGATGTGAGGGAACCTTTGGCGGAGACAACAAGAACTATGCGCTATTGCCACGACGCTCAAGGACGAGAGAGACTGACGACGATTCCACACGGTGGTATAATGCTATCTACGTTCAACTCGCGTCTTGATATGCCTTTACCAAGATGAGGTCAGTATGGCGCAACCCAGCGCGCTCAGTCCAACCTCTGCGAGCGTCCCCAAACTTCATTCCAGTCCTTCTTGCCCTTTGTCTCGGGTATCCTCCACACAGTGAAGAGGGCGAAAAGCGCGGCGAACCCGGCAAAGATAAAGTACACCCAGCCCGCGCCTCCAAGGGCGCTGTTCAGTGCCGTGTTGATCAAGGGGAAGAACTGCGCAACGAGGAAAGTAGCGACGTAGTTGGCAGCAAGGCACCATGATTGCGTAGCGCCGACGGCTTCCTGGCCGACGAGCTCCGAAGCAAGGATAAACGGCACAGGACCCAGGCCCACAGCGAAGAAGGCGACAAAGAAGGCAACAGAGATGGCGGACAGGAACTTGATGCCCAAACGGATTGACAGCGCAAGGACCAGGGCACTGGAGCCCTGCCCGATGATGGACGCGAGAATACAGGCCTTCCGGCCGAGACGGTCTGGCAGGGGAGCGCAGGCGATAGTCATAAAGAGGCCAATGACGGAGATGAGGATAGTCAACAGAGCAGAGCTGAATGGGAGAAGGTCGGCAAGCAGCGAGACGGAGTACATGATGACCGAGTTGATGCCGATCAACTGCTGGGCAAACATGACGCCAACGACAGCAATGATGGCCGGCCGGTAGAGGGGATCCTTGACGACCTCAAGGAAGCCAAGATGTCTTCCGGTTGTCCTGCCTACAGACAGTGGTGCCGAGTCGGCGTCTTCAGGCTCGGTCTGAGCCAGAAGTCCTTGTTGCTCTGCGCTGCGTCCTTCGCCGTCCCAGCTCTCGACTTCTTCGGCAATGTCAAAATCCTTACCACGGATGCGCTGCAAGATGCGGCGGGCACCATTCACGTCTCCGTTGGCGGCCAGCCAAGCCGGGCTCTCAGGGACGAAAAGCAGGCCGAAAGACTGGACCAGTGCAATAATGGCACCGGTTGCCAGGATGATGCGCCAGGAATCACCGTGACTCAGGAAGAAGCCGAGCGTCTGCGTCAAGAGAATGCCCAGGTTGATTGAGATCTGTGTCATAAAGCCGAACAGGCCGCGCTCCTTGGGAGGCGCAATTTCGCTGACGTAAAGAGGCACGACAACGGTCGCAGCTCCGGCTGCCGCACCCGACAAGAGGCGGCCGATGACGAGCAGGGCTACACTGGGGGCAATGGTCTCGAACGCGGAGCCGGCAAGGAAGACGAGGGCCGTGACGCGCATAGCCGACAAGCGACCACGCTTCGAGGCGAAAGGACCAGCAACCAGGGCCCCAATCAGTCCGCCGACAACGAATGCAGAGGAGACGGTCGAGAAGGCGGCATCATTCATAGGTATACATTTGGGGAGCAAACCCGGGTTCTCTGGCGGAGAGTTGTCGTGGCGGACTAGTCTTGCTGGATCAGAGTGCTGCGGTATGGCTCGCTTCTTGCAGGATATGACATCTTGAGGAGCATTGAGTTCGGCCTGGAGGGTAGACATGGTTAGAGAGCGGAGGCACTCCAAGGTGACTTGGAAGAGGAGGGGAGGAGGGGTCAAGGCATACAATATGGAACCCGAACTGAAGGGATCCCAATGTGGACACCAAGACCAAGAGGATCAGATACAGCGTGGTGTCGTGCGCGAGCTGTCTGAAACTGGAGGGGGCCATGTTGATTGTGTTGAGGTGAACACCGGGCAAGGTGCAGTTGGAGAAGGAAGAGCCGGTCAAGACGTTGAGGTCTGCGTAGCTCTGAAGGAGGCTCGAGGCGGGACCAACAGCATCCGTGTCACCGATTGGGACAGGTCAGCTGTCGCCAGGTGGCTTCGCCCGCCCCCCCCCCGAGGCTGGTGGGGGGGAGGCGAGTCCGGAGACGACTATCCGGGCCAGCGGTGCGTCAGCGATCTATCTCACTGTCGCACGGCAGGCAGCAAGCCTCAGCATGGCTGGTTGCGTGATTCTGAAGATGATTCATTCGATCAACGAATGGCCGTCAGAGTCGCTAGACATGGACCCCAGAACACCGAATACTGAAGGCCAAACGGGTGCCGAGAAAGCTTCCGAGACGGGATCTTGCATCCTGTACGAGGTACTCGAATGAGAGCAAGCCGTGCGCTTCCAGTTGATGGGGACATCTGGTCGGCTTCGGCAGAGCTAAGACACGCGGATGGGCAGGTAGCGATAGCAGGGCTGACAGGGACCGGGGCCCTGTGGAAGCTCCAGATGCACTGGCTGTCTGGCGGGGTGGGGGCCAGCACTGTACTGAAGGGCCAGATCGCGGGGGTTCAGAGGCTCCGGGGCACGCCAGCAGAAGCCCCGATCCAGTACTTTTGAGACGTAGGGGTAGTACAGACATCAGCCATCAAAGCCGCAACTATAGCCCCATATCATGTGCTGGTTCAAACGGCGACCTCGGATCGACGTGACTGGGCCGGGCAGCTGCCTGTGGCACTCACCGTCCAATCATGGGAAAAAACGACGGCTGCCGTCTGGTTGAGGGTTTGATTGCATAACCCGCCCGCATGAGCAGCCGGCCAGCCAACATGCCAGCCAGCACAGACGTGCATATGCCTGGCCTGTTTGCTACCGCCTTGACATGCCGTTGATCGTCTCGTGTGTGGAAATCATAGGCTTGATCGTTCTCGCCACGCATAAAGCGCCCGTTTCCCACTTTCACAAGGCCCAGCACCTTGCCCAGACCCAGAGGCTAAAGTCAGAGGCAGCGAGGACATTGGCAGGCTATCCAGCTCTCTACATGTCACCGACATCCGCTCGCCCTCTTTCGCTTGCTCTCGCTTGCCCTCGCCGCCTGTCTTAACTGCCCCTAGCGGCTCCTCTCGCTGCCCTGCGCCGCGTTCCCAGGACAGACCGAACCATGGCCTTCACGTATGTCCCTGGCACCTTTGACTTCTGGGCGGCGCGCCAGTCGACGCATCTCGTCGACATGCACGAGACAGCCTTCGTCCCTTTCAACGTCCACCAGGCTGTGGGCACGGCAGGGCTGGGATCCTGTTCTGTCGTGGCTATTGCCTCTGAGCGCGCCGTCATTCTTGCTCACATCCCGCCACTGCCGGACTTGCACTCGCAGCGACCCGACGCGGGCGACGCCAACGTGCGGCAGATGATGAAGCGAGTGCGGCGACTGTACCGAGACAACCGCCAGTTCTTCGACAATGCCGAGGGACGCGTTACTTGCGCCATATACGCCGGCGAGGTTGCGCTGCCGGACCAGGTAGCCATCATGCAGGAACAACTACGGCTATTGGGGTTCGAGCCGAGTACCGACTACTACCAGGTGCCAGCCGATGCAAATGTTGGCCGGGGCACCGTCGTCATTGTCGCGCCGCCACATCATCAGGGACAGGTTGGTGTCTACGTCGAGGACAGCCTGGTGTCGTCGCCTGCCTCGTCGCCGTCGCCCCCGCCGTCTGTTCCCACAACGTCGGGTGCGGCGGTTGCCAAATCGTCGTGGGACCGAGCATGACGTTGAAGTCGAGGTGTAGAGGCGGGGTGGTGAACACAGACGACGTGGT